GCAATGTACTTTGAATATGAAACTTCGTTTCCATGGAGTTGATCTCCATTGGAATACTCTATAATGAATGTTGACAAGTCTTTGTGACTTTGTGCATAATCATTACAAGAGGATCAGTGCATATAAGTTTAAAATCTAACAGATTTCGGTAAATGGCAGGAATTTGGAATTCTTGCATTTGCAGTAACGATTTGGGATTGTGAAATGAGAATCATTGGAATTATGTTCAATCGATCTATTCCACAAAGTAAAGATCATAGACAAACATAGTGTGCGTACTTGGTGTATGGCACAAAGTAAGATCATAGACCACATAGTGTGCGTACTTGGTGTATGGCATGACTAGTGTTTAGAAAACATAGTGTACATGCTTGGAGCATGGGACACCTATTGTTTTAATTCAAGTATTAAGTAGATAAATTTGAAACATTATACAATAAATATGGTGATAAATAAAAGGTGTTCTATTTATATTCATAAGTTCTGAGACCATTTGATTTATTCTGTGTTCTTTGAGTTCTGAATTCATGTTCTGAATTCCAGATTAACGGTCATTCTTCCTGAATGACTAACTAGTTATTCAATCCATCCACAGTCGATAATATGTTGGAAGTAGGTATTAAGGCAAGACTGTCATGAAGTTGGTTTGTAGATGTCTAAGGTATTGGACATAGCAAGAGTTGCTACAACATTCATGAGTGCTCATAAGTTCCGAGTATTGGATTAAACCCACGCTCATTTGAATCACTTCATGGATTTATCACGAGTGATCATGAGATGATAATATCTTATATTCTTCAAACCTAGAGATATGAGTTGTTGCCTATGAGTTGGTTATACATTGATTGTACGAAAACGCATTGGTAACTCGATGTTATAAAACGTGCATTTGTGTATGATTCAACAAGTAGTAGAGCAAGCATATGATTCGAAGTTTATCCATTCATTTTACCCTTGGAGGGATAAAAGCGATATATGTGGGCCCCTTGATGATTTAGTGATGACACCCCAAAGTGCTTGGCCAAGCCTGGACTGGTTGATGTGTTCAATTAGTCAGTCGTCATAAATCGGAAATCGGAAACAACAAATGGACAGAGATAATGATTATAATCCATGTCTCAGTCCATATGATATCTAGAATGGAGGAATATATGATCCCTTATCTAATGGACGCGTCATTGATTTGTTCAGAGTACGGCAGTGGCTTTAAGAGCTATGATTGCTAGTCGGATTTTGGAGTCATACGCAATAATACTTTTAGACTTATCCAAGTGGGAGACTGTTGGATTAGATGTCTAAGCCCATAACTATTATTAATATGTATTCAATCCGACTTGGCATGGTCCATTTGGGTTGCATGGCATCAGAACAATTGGATAGACAAAATAAGAAAAAAGGATACTAGTTATTTATATTAATATATTATAAGTTCTAATATATTAATATGAAATCATATTATTTAATTAGTATTGATCAAGAATTAATTTAGTGATAAAAAATGAACTAATTAAATATGGACTCTTATATATGTGGTGGGCCAAGTTCATTTAGGTTGGGCTAAGCTTTCATGGATAGTCCATGGAGCGTTTAACCCATGGATCCTATGGAAATGAAAGGTCATGGGTATTAGGGTTTACATGAATGTAACCCTAATCCTCCACACTATATAAAGAGGTCCCTAGTTCATGAAATGAGCACTAGTGTGTATACACAAAAGGGCAAAACCGATTTGGTGCAAGTATCCTTATTCTTTAGTTATTCCAAGGGTTCTTGGTGTTGTGTGAACCATTTGAGGTGCAACACTTGAGGCACTAGGCTCTTAAAGGTTCAAGACTTCAAACTTCATCAAAAGGTATGTCATTCTACTAGATTATTGTATTGTATATACTTCATTGTATGCTAGTTAGGATGAAACCTTGGAATATTGAATATTTGCATGTATAATAGAGAAAACATAGATCCAAGGTTTGTAGGGTTGCATGTACACCATATGAGTGTTAGGATGCTCAAAACCCATCAATTAGAATAATAGATGTTGTAAGGCTTGTACTATTTTTATTTATGCTTATGTACTGTATTGACAATGACATCCCGGTGTTTTTAATATAATAAAAATCCATTCCTTCGGTATGCTTTGATAAATTACTTATCATATTTTTGGGAACAAATTCTGCAACATATTTCTGATTATCAAAATAAAGCATAAATAAATCGGTCTTTTTTTGCCGTGAAAATGGGGATGTCATAAATTGTGAAGATAGTTAGGAATACCTTTGTTCTGGTTGTATCCACCTGGAACTACAAAAGTTGCTACAAATCTTATGGAAGTTATAAGCGTTGCTACTACCAAGCACTAGTTAGCCGTGTCTTTCATCCAATTCTTATTGTCGGAAAGTAGATGTCGATTTTCCTTCTCAAACAATTCATGTGGTGTTAGATATTTTTTTCTTCATTTCTTTATAAGAAGGATGGACCATATCTTTTACTTCCTACACAAATCTATTATTAGAGGATGTGACAAGTATACGATTTGATATCATATATAGATTTTGATCATGTCAAGCAAGTAGGAATATATGTATTAAACTAGCACTTAACATAAGTATTTCCTTAGATATATATAGTTAACTAGCTACATGAGCCTTTGAAATTGTGCATTCTAAAATATATTTCTAGCTATTCTTCGATGAATTTGTTGAGAAGTTGGTTGCCTTCTTTTCATATTGAAACATGAACAATTAACCAAACCAATATGCCAAATGTAGCAAAACAACATTGACACTTGTAGACTGATTAAGGCTTTAATTTCCCATATATGTGCAACAAGAAGACTTGCTCTGTTAGTTTAATTAATTCATCTCTCATTATCTATAAGGTACTAATATAAAAACAGAAGATGGACAAGTAATTTTGATTTGAATTTCACGGTGTTAATCCCACTGAGGCAAATGATTGAACACATGGTGTGCACATGAATATGACAACAGACATGAATAGTCAAATGGTGTGCCAATGGCATGATGGTTGTGAGGGTGGTGATAGCAGGTGTGGTATTTGATGGGTTTTGAGCATAACAACAAATCATATGTGTTAATGCAACCCTAATGCTTTGGATCTAGGTTTTCACTAGTTGAACATACAAACTTGAATACAAAAGAGAAACCCTAGGAAGCTAACACATATTTCGAAATCTATAAAAAAAATTAGGGTTTAGATGCATACCTTTATTGTTATGTAGCAATAACAATGAAACCTTGATTATCTTGAACTCTTGAGAGCAAGTGCCTCAAATGTGACACCTCTAATGGCTTACAAACACTCTTTGCAAGAGGATGAGATATCACCATAATTTCGGCTCTTCTAGGGTTAGATAGCATGGGGCTGAAATCCTAAGGGGTTGGGGTCTTTATATAGTTGTTGGTTGCTTAGAGCCAAAGCTAGGGTTTGCTGGATGAAACCCTAAATTTCAGCTTAAGGCCTAAGCAGCCCATGCACTCCCATTCGTAAGGCCTTGGATGAAAAATTATAGGGCGTCCCTATAATTTTCGTCCACTCCTTCCATGGAGTCCATTAGTCCAATTTCACAACTATCAATAAATTGCAAAACAACCCCTTATTCTTTTAATTAATTCCTTTAATCCCAAAATTAATTCCAAAATAATTTATGATTAAATATTAATTAAACAACATGATTTCTAATTAGTATATCATTTTCATAATATATTAATAAATCATTTATATCAATTTATTATTCCAAATAATAAATTCAACTTCTCTCCAAAAGTCATCATGTCAAGTTGCTACAGTGAAGACAACCCAAAAGGACTGTGTTACTATCAATTCAAGTATATATCAATTATAGATATGAGCTTAGACATCTAATCCAACTGTATTGTGGTGGTGGTGATTGGTGATGATGGTGGTGATTGGAGATGGTGATGATTGGTGGTGATGGGGCTGATGGTGGCAAGTGGTTGGTGGGGATGGGTGAGTGGTGGTGGAACCAATGGTAAAAGGGTATTTTCGTCTTTTAAAAATATTTAACCCCTCTATTAGGGCTATTAGAGGGAGGACCACCGGTATTACCAAAACCCTCTATAGGGACCAATGGTGTTACTTTTCCAACAGTATGACTAAAACTATTATTTCGTACAAATCACAAGGACCAAGAGTGTAATTTACTCCAATATTTTTATATGTAAATATTATTTTATCTTTTGATCTTATGTGGATCCTAGCCGCTTTCTTTCTCCTCCCATCACCGGCGCACAACCAATTTACCCTTTTACACTAAAAAAAATTAATAAAATAAAATAAAAAGAAATAAAAAAGTCTATTTAAATAAGCACTCTAAACACCCCTTAGTGGTTGGTGGCCTAATTAGCAAGAAAAATATGGCGACTCGAATATAGATTAAGTGTCCTTTCTATATGAGATTATAAGATCTCTAAATATGGCATTCTGATTCATTAGAGTATCCAAAATCCAAAATTCTTAAATAAAACAATAGATTTGGAGTTTAATAACTATTGAACTTGAAATCTTCAATAGAAAAAAAAAATATATTATAAATAGTTTTTCTAATGTCTTATTGAATTTTATAAAATTCAATGAGTTGTTGAAAATTTTTGATAAAGTTATATGGAAATCAAAAAGAGTTAAAGACGGATGAATAAATATATATATATATATATATATATATATATATATATATATATATATATATATTCCAAAAAAAAATCACAAAGTATATATATAGCCATGAATCTTTCTCGTTAAACCACCGAATTGTACAAAAAATTGCAATAAAAAGGATAAAAAATGGAATCGAAATTTATAAAACTAAATATGACAAACGGATGAAAGAGAAAACTTATATTGAAGCCACTAAAAAGTAAAAACCGCACTAAAGATGAGCCACTTTATTTGTTAGATGTAACCGAAGGAACGTTACAAAAATTGGATGATTTTCTTGTGCAATTTTTGGAAGATAAATCTGTCTAATTTGTCTTGTCTCCGCCGTCCTTTGTTTCTTCCATTTGAGGAAAAATGAGTTCCATACTATTATTGCTGCTACTCCCGGAGTTAAACATCGTATCAACCAAATCCAAATCTGTCATTCCAGTACCATACTCAACATATCTAGTCGTCGGAGATGATGGACCTGCAGCTTCGCCACCAATATCAGCTGATTGATTCCTATACGATTGCATGCCATGATGATGAGTAATACTGTAAAGATCTCCCACCGACTGTTTGATATCCATGGATAACCATTGAGGGGTCTGTGAAGAAGAAGGTGGCAAATCATGATGAGATGGTAGAGATTGGATGGGTATAGCCTCCGCTGCTGGTGGTGGTAGTGGCGGCATCGACGGAGCAGTGGAGGACATGATACATGTATGGTCACCTCGGTACGTCACTTCAAATGTATTGGGGTCGTTATCTAGTTTTTGAACTTGTTTTTTGGCTGGACAGTTGTATAACTTTTGATGGGTACATCTGTAATATCCCCTGAAATATCAAGGACCGAAATTGTAAATTTCATCCGAATGTTCCATCCATCCAGAATACCGAGTCTACGCCCATGAAAAATATTTGAAAGCTTGAATATTCAAAGAAGGACAGTAAACAAATGTCGTGGCAAGAAGACCATCTCATGTACAAAATCTTTGAATTCAAACCAATTAATAGACATGTCATTTTAAAATTAGTTGCAATCATGGAAACCATTGGACTTTCAAGATTGTACCAAAAATCTCAAGATTTGCAACAAGAAACTTTCAATAGGTGTAAAAAAAATTCGAGAGATGTTTTCTGAAATTATACAGTAAAAAGGGTTAATATATTCGTTTTCATGAAAAACTAGATATATATAAAATTTCAAATATCATGTTATACGTGACTTTTATACCTTGGAAACCTTGACCCGAGAATTTCCTTTTGACCATATTTTCTCCAAGTGTAGCCGTCCTCTGGTGGAACTTCTGTGTTCCCCCATCCTGGGAGCTGGTATTCTGAATGTACGTCTATCTGCTTCATGTTTTCTGCATGCACACATAACAAAATCAGACCTACCATGTCCTTCAACATAAAACTGTCAAGTTTTTTCAATGTCATAAGATACACGTATCAATGAACTTCCAACAAAATTTAGTTTTCATCATTTTCTTACTCAGCTTTCCAATGAAATTTTTGAATCTTAAAGGGTTAATGATTCAATGATTTATGCAATGAAGTTATATATATGCTTACCAACTAAACAACAAAAATTATGTTTTAGTAACAGATTGCAACATGACAATATAAATTACGAAAAAAAAATACATTTCATTGAATATTTGGATAAAAACATGTAACTTTCTGTCGCATAAAATAGTAATTATTCCAATCTTAAAATCATGTATATGTGTATCTTACTCTTTGCAACCCCGTTTGTAAGTAATGTAGAGCTTGTTATTATGTTTGCATGCATTTACATATATACGATGAAAATATAATGTTATTCACGATCGTATATGTAGACCCCATTTTTTTGAATATTTTTAGAAAACATAGTATTTGTATTAGAGCTAGTTGAATAACATCCACATTGCATTTTATAAAAGTTTAATTTCCCTTTACCTTCTACGTGTTCGGGGCAATGAAGAATGACCTACATCCGTCCCCTGAGCCTCCACATTTTCCGCCACCTAATTCTTGGTTAGCAATGGCCTCCAACCCATGGTGCTGACGTTGAACTAGTTGCTCCGGTAGCACCATATCTGTTGCATGCGAACTCCTCAGCCATTCCGGCACAGATCCACTACCACCACCAACCTCCATTGTTGGTGGTGGCTCATGGTGGCCATACTCCTGCACAACCAAACTCAACCGCTCCCTTGCATCACCAAAAACTCTACTAATCTCATCACATAAACTGATAAGAAGGTAGGGTTGGTTCGGTATGTTGGGCAGCGCTTCTTCAAGATCTTTAACCAACTTACGCCCATGAAAGATCAAAGAAACAATCTCTTCCATGGCTGATTTCTGGGTCCTCTTTTTCGAATTATGATGATCAAGACTATGAATATGATGTTGGTGCGATCTGTAGCTAAATGTTGGAGGGTTGTAAACAACAAAAATGGTGGTGAAAAGATTAGGATTTTGATGCATATATTAAGAAAAGAATTTCAAGATTTTAAGAAAATGGGTAAAAGGGGTTAAGAAAAAAGTAGAAGAAAAGATTCAAAGTATTTGTAAGATCTTGGACACGTTGGATCGAAGAAGAAGGGGTTTGGTTGACTTGGTCATGGTCTCTAAAATTTGCAAGCTTTTTGAGTTGGGTCTACAAGACGACTTGGCATGGAGACTCCATCGATTGGTGGACGAATTTTCTAACCTTTGAAACACATGACTTGAAAAAATATGTTGTTCTTTCACAACTTAAAACATTTTTAATTAGAATGATCACTATTTGGGATGAAATTTATGTCTATCTGATTCCAAATTAATAGTTTCTTTCTAAAATAATGAATAAATTAAGAAAACGTGCGAAACTACTAGAATGTTGAGAAACTGAGCGGAATTAGACGGAATCCATTCGCTAAAATATATATATCATTGCAGTTTTTGCGACATTTTCTTTACCTAATTAGACTTGTAACAAAAATGAGACAGCTGTTACTACTTCGTTGCAATTTCTACGAACTTTAAGTTTAATTTACTTATGATATGAAGTTTTTGAACAAAAATCCCTCTGAACGAGGCTAGTATAGCGACGGATGGATTCGGTCGCTAATAGCCATCAGCAACATATTTGTGCCCACTGATGCCCCTGTTCCTTGTAGTGTGGATTTATATCATACGTTCTTATTGGTATTGAACTTATATTATATTTTCTTAAAATAATGATTTCGAATTGATGTGTGTACACGTTATATTGAAAATACATTGTTTTTAGGTGAAATTCTTCTCAAAACAATTATTGCATTTATTGATTAAGTTTAAAAATAATAAATACTAAAGTTGTCCATTGGTACTTATACTTTTATTAAAAAAATTATACCTTTTTTCTAAAAATTGTCATTACTATATGTATTTTAGCTATGGTTATGTTCATTTTAGCTTGTTTTTTAGATTTCGTTCTTTACATTTTTATACGTATAATAACTAGATAATATGAGAAACAATAATGAACTCGTCATTTTTTACTAATGCAATAGCTATTCTAACAAGCGATGTCTATATGATGCTTTACACTGTCAAATGTTAATTAATTTAACTTTTTATACAATAAAATCCAGAAATTATTTCGATATATTTATCAAAAATCAAAACTTTTATTGATATTTATTGGTGTTCTTATCTTAAAATCTTGATCTCCCTCCGAGGCACATATGAACACACACATGATTTTACTAAGATGAATGCATTTTTCATTAAAAAAGTCAATCCACTATTCCCTTAGAACTCTTTCAAATAATAAATAAATAAATAAAAATCTTTCACTATTCCCTTAGAGGGTGGAGAAGATGGTTTTCCTCCCATATCAGTATATCACCAATGTTTTAAAAACCAGTTTGAACCGGCCGGTTGGATCGGGAACCGGGAAAATGAACGGTTCAGTTATCTTCGGTTTTACGTAGATTTCAGAATTCGATTGAACCGGTCAGTTTTTAGAAAAATGCGATTGAACCGGTCAAAATAAACCGGTTAAACCAAATAAAAACACATGAAAAATAACCATTTTCATAATAAACTAGTGATTTTTTTCAAATCTATTTAGTTTTCTCTAAATAAAAACATATGGTAAATGTTATAAAGTTTTTTGATATGTTTGACTTCATCTAAAACTATATTTTGTTTCGGTATTATACTTTATTTTCTTTTTGATATATATGGATTGATGTAAAACACTAAAACTTATGGTTATATGTTATTTTAATGTTTTTGAATTGATCTACAATTTATTTTTATGTATATTTTTAATGTTTGAACTTGTAAATATCAAATTCATGATTTATATATGTATGTATAGGAAAATAGAAAAAAAATGATAAAATTTATAGAAACCAATTGACCCGGCGGTCGACGCGGTTGAACCGGAACCGACTATCATACCGGTTCAACTAAAAAACCGGTTTTTAAAACACTGCATATCACAGCATATCAACTTTTTTTCCCGAGTATCATCTCACACCCATCCGTTAACCATGTAACTCGTCTCCTTCCCATCCCACACTCATTTATGTTTTACTTCTTATTCACTCAACTCATTTACCATATTAGTTTTTCTCTCTCATATTTGTTCTATTTTTCTCACTGGAACCCTTAATCTTGTCGCCTAATCAACCTTGAATTGTATACGACTAGATACACGAAGCAACTATAGAAAACCCACACATAAATCAGATGTAATGAGTTTACCCCTAACTATTCGATAGTGCCTCTGTAGTGGAACTATAGGTTGGATTTTCGGACGAAATTCTTTCAACGGGGGGAGAATGTGACAACCATCAAACATTGGTCAACAGTCGTCAATCTCAAACGTAATGAACATCAATGAAACGACCTAATGTATAATGTTTGATCATTTTATAATGAAGATACAATATTATACATTTAAATATAAAAGAAAAATTAGTCGAATCGTCCGAAAACTAAAAAAAATAAGCACATAAAAAGTTGTATTATTTTATAAAAATAATAACATATTCCAAAATTTCACGTCGATGCGATTCCAGAAATATAAAGAACACAAAAATTTGACTTCGTATGATGAAGTTATGATTTTTCTAAAATCAACTGTGCGCCGAAATGTGTGTCGTAAAAAGGTAAAGGAAAATTGGTTGATTTTTAGCCAAAACAATATAAACGAGAATCGTAGTACTCCTTAATACAAAACCGGTGAGACGAAGAAAACTGAAAATGGTATTCGTACAAGTGATTTGTGATTTTTTAAAGATCATTTAGGGTACACCACTTGCAAAAATTGGGTTAAAAATAAAGTTTGAATTAGCCAAAACAATCTAAAGGAAAGTCGTAGTACTCGTCGATAGCTACGGGTGGAAACAGAGAACATCAAACACGGAGCTCGTATGCGAAAGTTATGACCTTCCAAAAGTCTGAGGCTTTACCGAGCTAGGGTGACGTGAAACTCTCAAAGCGCCACGTGGCACCTGGACATTCGAGATTCGCCAAGATTTTGGCGACGTCAGCTAGATCACAAGTTGATCTCGATAACTCTAGTAAGATGACATCTAGGTGTGCTAGGAGTAGGATTTTGGGGACAATCTTTGTAAGTGGGGGAGAGTTGTAACACTCCACTTTCACTTTACAGTAGAATTCAAAATAACCGTTTGTTTATAAAACTCAAAATATAAATATATTAGTTTTCGGCCAAAATAGTCATCATAGACATGTAATAGACGTCAATACGATTTTGTAGATATAAGGAACACCCAAATCTGATTTCGTATGAGGAAGTTATAACTTTCTAAGTTTCGCGTTCAGCCCTAAACAGCTAGGTGTGTCATAAAAAGTGATAGGTTTCTTTTTAGTGAAAGCAATGTAAACGAGGGTTGAAGATCTCGTAAAAATTAAATCATCGATATAGAGAACATCGAGAACAGAATTCGTATGAAGAAGTTATGAATTTCACAAGAATTCTAACAGTCTAAACTAGTCTAAATTTGAATATAAAATAGAGTGAGAATTAGCTATTGATACCTAAAGGAAAGTTGTAATACTCGGAAATACCTTCGTGTGGATATAAAGAATGTCGAAAATAGAGCTCTTATGTGAAATTTATGACTGTTCAAAGATTCATGAAAAATGCTTGATGGTGGTGACGTGGCGGCACCAGAGTACACCACGTAGCAAAGAGACGGCTGAACTCTTCAACCAACATGCTGACATGGCACCACAATAAGTCCACACGTGACACCATCAAATTGTGACATGCGGAATTGCTGGAGCAGCCACCGACCAGGCGACGTGGCCCAACAAGATTACAACACGTGGCGGCA